GGGGTGTTGTGTTGTTGGTGGTGATCTGGGGTGGAGCGTGTGTTGTCTCGATCTGTATTTGCGCGGTTTGACCGGCGTCGGGTACCAGACCTGTGGCCGAGCTCTGTCCGGTGTGCCCAGTGGGTTCCATAGGCGGGAACCGGATTTCGTTGGCCTGCAGGTTCATGTCCGCGAAATGTTGTGTTAATCGGATTTCGAGATCACCCTTCGCTCCCGTATCCGTTAAACCGCGCTGTCCGCATTCGTAGCGCAATTCCGCGGCGGTCAATTCATTAATATATTTTCCCGGCATGACTTCCGGTTGGTTTTCCGGTGTTGTTGACGAGAAATTATAAAATGTGGCTGTTGTCGTTGGAACGGGTATCGCGTTCCTTCGATCAGCTGTGTTGCCCGCTTATCGGTGTTTATTTGCGTACGGAATGTAGGTCAGTGGGTTGTTATTGTTATTGTTGCGCTTGCCGGGCGATCACAGTAACCGGTCTTCGCAGAGTGTTTTCGCGGATGCGCGTGTGTGCGTTATCCGGTGCACTACTGCGATTAGGGAAGGCGGCGGCTGTCGCTTTAAGCGGCGGCGGCGGCAGTCCGATTACGTGGTATTTTTGTCCCGGGTAATCGCGTGTTGACGCTGGCGGGTGGTGGTGCTAGGCGGTGGTGGTGTGACCCTCTCGCGCTCTTGCGTTCCTACCTAATGCCTACCTACGTCGTGTGTGTTTGGTGCGTCGCGCGCGGTGCGGTCGGTGCGTCCGTGAGTCGGGCGGCGCGGCCGGTCGTTACGTCCTTTATGGTTATGTAATATATTACGTAACGCCGGTTTTTCCGTTACCGCCTGCAAACCACGTTTTTGCCGGATCGCGTTGGTGACTTTTTTCCAAAACGCGCAACGGGGTTTGTTTGGGGGGTGGTAGTATGTGGTAAGAAAGTTTTCACTTACCGGTGATTCCTGTTCGGGGAGCCAGTTGATGCGGACTTAAATTGAGCCGCGTGGTGTTGTGAGGTGAATAGGTGATGGTGGTGACCGACCGAGGATCGTCGGGTCGAAACAAACAAAACGAAGAGATCAATCACAAAATACCAACAAACGAAACGCACTAGTGTGACCGAGTTTTATTATTACGAACTAAAACAAAACAAGAAAAATATACGTTCAGTATAACGGTATTTCAAAGGTATCGGGTTCACGGAAAACGTGGGTAGGTCTTTCCGTGTCGGAGTCGTGAGGACGAGAGAGCGCGCCTTGGCGATCCGGTTCGCTGGACGGCCGGCCGACGGTTCCAGGCGCGCGTGTCGCGCGCCGGCGTCGTCCGTCGTCGGTTGGCGGTTTGATTGAGAAGCCGCGGCGCGGCTTCCGCGCAAAGGCTGTTTGAATTCAAACAGATTTTGCGCGGGACCGCGTCAAATAGTGACGAGTTCTAAAATATACTGAAGTCAAAACTAGTTATGTGTTTCTTTGCAATTTAAATATGTTGAGGACCTTTGTGTTATTGAAATTGGGTTGTTTCTCAGCAAAATTGTATTGCCTAAAAAATTAAAACTATGTTAAAAATATGGGTTATTTGTTTCTCTCTTGAATAACGAGTAACATGCAAGTGAGAGTACAGTAGATCCAGTTTTGTACTGTTAGCTTTAATATTAGAGTTATATGACATAATATTATAATCAAACTTAAAAGTAAATATATTTTTCAAGGTACCTTATAGAGAAGCACTAAGCAATTATTTGTAGTTTATTTTTAAAACAAGTTATGGATATTTTAATATTGTAAGATATAATTATTTATTTATTAATTTTTTTGACTAAACGGGCTGAGCTCTTTCGATATACAAATTTATGTCCACGCACACAATTAGATATTATACAATGTGTCCCGTGAACAGGTGGACACGTTAGTTAGTACAATAGCTTTAAAATAAAAACCTATTTACAATATTCTCACCTTTAAGTTTCATAACTCGCTCCAATATGGTATGTATATAATTATCTGCAAGAAAGTCAACGTCTGAAAATTGTCAACACATTGGCTCGACTTAATAGTTTCTTGTATGTGGTACATCATATATTTCAGTTTTGAAAACCATAATAAGTATAATCCACTGTATGAACTAAAAACAATAAACCACTAAGTAACTTTTGACATTTAAAATCGGAACTTGAGTAATATACTTATATAAGTGTGTGTGAATTAGACATTATTAAGTTTCTAAGGCTTTTCTGGGTGAATTAAAATCATCGACTGTAACATCTCCAAAGCCTTTATTTGTCTGTTCATTTTCTTCAAACTCATAGTTGGAGAAATATAATTTTCTGAAAATATAAAGTTGTAAAAAATATCTGAATACCTACCTAATTAATATTAAAATAATTCAAAATTAAAAGATTTTACCTCTTACATGATTAACTAGTCGTGCTCAGAGTGGTACCAGTGTTGCTGTAAATTATTAAAATTTATTTTATATTGTTTATTTTACTCCTCTAAACAGACATGTGGTTTGGATTATGTTTGGTGACAGCCTCTGGCCATAATAATATCTACTATAAGTATACTGAGCCTTGTTTATAATAATTACTGATTGTGAAATGATTACAGCAGATTCTGCTCCAGATAGAAATTGGGTAATCATTTAATTTGAATATTTATTTCCTTCAATTTTCATTTTTTGGAAATCTATATTTGTGAACAAATTACACTGGCACCATATTATTAAGAAATATAATCAGTACAACTAGAAAATAATACTTACAAATGAAAATTAAGGTAATATGGCGAGGCGATACTTTGGATGTTTTACTAAAAAGAATACACTTATGCATGGCAACTTTTTACTAAAATGTATGAATACAACACTGTATGAATGTATAGTAGTCTGTATTTACTATTTCCGTTCAAATTTCAAATACCTTATGGAATGATTCAAATGAATCAATTAAAGTCGGGGAACATTAAAACATTGAACTATATAATAACTTCTATAGTATTTGGTTCAATGCATTAAAATGATATTATGTTGTTGTTATTCATTTGATAACACCACGGATATCTTATTAGTCCGTGAGTGACCGTGACATGCGCTTATAATTATCGTTCCTCGAAAAACTATCTATGCTCGAAACTATATATATTTCAAATTTTCGACGTTTTTATCATAGATAAGTATAATATACTATAATATAGTTTTTATTGTTTGTCATATTTTATCGTAAGCGGTTGTATTATACTAACCTATTAATTTATGAACAAATGTCAGTAACCACGTGAACTACTGTTTAAACTGTGTCAGATTTAACATTTTGTGCGTTTCCTGTGTACCTATTTATTTTATTATATTTTTACTTTAATAGTTTAATTCATTCATCCTTCATAATGGTATTATACCAATGTTGTATAAAGGGATATAAAGCTAAAGGTTAGTATTGTTATGTAATTTTATAGGTACTGTTAAGTTAGGTTAGGCCGAACTCCATATTACCTACATCACCACCTTTTGTTATATTAGATGTTATATCTCATCGGTTTCCGAACATACGACTGTATCCTATCCGATTGAGAGAATGGATGAAAATTGCTAGGTTAGAGCATGAAGATCCTCAAATTGTGTACAACAAGAAGAGAATTTGTGGTGCACATTTCACAAATGATTGTTTAAGTCCTGGGACCAAAAGATTGAACTGCAATTCATATCCTACCTACTCTACATATTCCTGCAGGTAAAATAACAGTTGTTATTAGTATATTCAAATAGTCTTACCTAAACTTAAAAAAACTGACTTATTTTAGGTAGGTACCTATTACAATTTGTGAAATGTAATTTTATTATAACAGGTGATTCATCTTCTTGTACACAATCACTACACATCAACTCCGAAAATGACTCTGAAGAAGTGAACCTGCCTTGTACCTCTTCAACCAATCTCGACTTATCTGGATTTGATGTATTAGATACCCCATCTCTGTTACCACGTATGTACATAGTATTTAGAATAACAGTTGTTATTAGTATATTCAAATAGTCTTACCTAAACTTAAAAAAATTGACTTACGTTAGGTACCTATTACAATTTGTGAAATGTAATTTTATTATAACAGGTGATTCATCTTCTTGTACACAATCACTACACATCAACTCCGAAAATGACTCTGAAGAAGTGAACCTGCCTTGTACCTCTTCAACCAATCTCGACTTATCTAGATTTGATGTATTAGATGCTCCATCTCTGTTACCTCGTACGTATATAATAATTTGAATTTTTTTAAATATACATATTACGTAGCTAATAATACATAACACCTAGCTTTATACAATATATATTTCACTTAAATTATTACTATTAAAACTTATATTAAAACTATTACACTAAAAGTATAACTATAAATTTGCTATTCGCCTATATTCAACACCATGACGACATGACTATCAAATATGTTTTGCTTTGCTATGCAGATGACGATAACGGCTTGCTTTGTAATATCACTAGAATATCAGCACAAGTTAAAAATCAAATAACAAAGAAAAAAGATACTGGTTAATAGAATTATTTAAGCTTTTATATATTATAACTATTATGATACATTAATTAATATATTTTTAATGTTGATATATAGGTTTATTAAAACAGATAGGTGTTACAAAATGTAGTCATCTAACACCAAAATGTAAAAAATTGTATACTATTGCCAATCAATTGATGAAAAAATGTAGGCGAAATGGAAGTAGACAAAAACTTTTTAAAAGCAGGTTACAAGCAGCAGAATCTTTCTCAGATAAATTCCTTGCAAAAATGACACCTGCGGCATCCATGTTTACTCGACTACAAGTACGAGAAACGCAGAAAAAAATCATGGTCGTCGATTTACCGAAGATGAAAAAATTTTGAGTTTATCGTTATACAAAAGAAGCCCTAAGTGTTACAGAATACTGTCAAAGCTATTCACCCTACCTAGCAAAAGAACACTTAATTTAATCCTGTCAAGTGTTTCAGTCCGTCCTGGAATCAGTCCTTTGGTCATGAGTGTTTTGAAAGAATATGTCAAAAAACTTAAGCCAGTTGATAGGTGAGTTGAGATGTTGAAATGTTTTTTGTTAATAATATTACTAGGTACATGGGTATGCATAGGGTTTCTAAGAATATAATTTAATATTTTACATTTATTCATTTAGGTATTGTTCAATCCTTTTTGATGAGATAAGTCTAAGTAGCGGTATTCAGTACACACCGGCAACAGATGTGATTGATGGATTTGTTGATTCTGGTGCCTATAAAAATCAAAGCTTGGCTGATCATGCACTTGTTTTTACGGTTCGAGGGATTAGAAAAAAGTTTAAGCAACCGATATGTTATACGTTTTGCCAAGCAGCCACCAAACAAAATGAGCTAGTGCGACTGTTGAAAGAGGTAAATTGAACATCAAACAATTATTTATGTAATATGCTAATGTTGATAATCTATTTCTAATAGGTTATTCGTGAAGTACACAAAACTAGGTTAATTATTGTTGCCAATATTTCTGACCAAGGACGAGCAAATTAATGCAAGTGCAAGACAAAGTAAACAGTATAAAGATGATTTTTATGAGGTTGAAGTTGATGATACAAGGTTACAAATTGTTCATTTATTTGATTTTCCACATCTTATAAAATGTTTAAGAAACAATTTGTTAACTAAAGACCTTAAGTTTACAATTGATGGTGTACAAAGAACAGCGAAGTGGGAGCACATTGTACAGTTGTACAATGCGGACAGTGCTATTCCTGATTCAAAAATGCTTCCTCGTTAGTCAGATAAACATGTTATTCCTGAAAAAATATCTAAAATCAAGGTGAAATGTGCCACACAAATATTCAGTTATCATGTGTCAGCAGTTATGAATTTTCTTTCTAGTGAGTAATATTTATTACAATTAAATAATAACTATTGTGTACATTTATGGTATTTTTGTTTACAGCTCAAAATATTATTGATTCTGATGCTGTTGATACTGCAACACTTCTATTATTTGTTGATAAGTTGTTTGATTCAATGAACGGTTCTTTTGATGTTTGATTCAATGAACGGTTCTTTTGATAAAGTAGTTGACGGCAAAATTTATAGAACTGCAGTTAAGACAAATTATGTTCACCATCAACTATGGGAAAAAAGTCTAGCAATTTTATCAACAATGAAGTTTGTGGGAAAAAATTATGAAAACTGTTAGTGTTCCAACATTAAGAAACTGGATGACCACTATTAGAGGTAATTAATATAGTACAGTTAGTCAGCAACCTACTAATAATAATTTTTTAAAGGTTTCTAATATCTATCAAAAGTGCTAAATGCAAAAGGATTGAAGTCATTGTTGCCCAGAAACTTGAATCAAGATCCGCTGGAAAATTTTTTTGGAGCAGTCAGAAGTCTTGGTTGTACTAATCCCACTTGTGCATCATTCATTCAATCCTATAAAACTTTAATGCTCAACAATTTGGTATCACCTCATTCACCTGGAGCTAACTGTGAGGAAGATCTTACTGAGGGTACTTTGACAAATTATAAAAATTTATTTTGTTCTGAACATGACATAAATTATACCCAACAAACTTTAACGGCTGATTTACCCAGACCTTCTCTACCAATTCTCAGTGATAATACCGAATATTTAAGGCAATTTACACATACCTATATATCGGGCTTCATAATAAAAAAATTAAATTGTGATGTCTTAAAAGGTTGTAATAAATGTTTAAAAATAATGTGTACTGATCAATTATCAACAGAACATCAGCTGATATCAGTTAGAGAATACCGGCCTACTAAACTTAGTTTAAAATATCCTTCTACTTCATTTCGGTCCTTAATTAATAATATTATTACTTACATAAATAATAACCTTAAATATGTCATCATCAACAAATTAAATTAACTCTAGTAAATAATCTTTCAGCAAAATTTGATTTAAGCAATTTATGTTGTTCTGACCATACCAATATTTTTGAAGAAAAAATTATGAATTCTATTGTTAAAATGATAATCAACCATTGGTGTGTTGAAGTTAATAGAATTCTATGTGGTAAACGTCAAATAAGAGTAGGTGAAAAAGATCCCATTAAAATTTTAGCTAATGTATGGTATAATAGTCATTCAAAAAAAAAAAATTACGGGTAAATACAACCAGGTATAAATTGTAATATTAAAAAAAATATGTAAAAGAAACTCCAATACACCGATACTAGTAGTTATAGTGGTAAATTGGGTTAAACTATATTTTGTATGTTATTAAATTTAATTTGTTATTAAATTTATTGAAAATATGTGATATATTATTTTATTTTATATTTTTACATTTAATTAAGCTTGAATTATTATATTTATAATTTATTATATTACAATACTCTGTACTTAATGATTTGTTATTAATTCATTAATATGCTTAAATTATATTATTCATTAATTACTTATATTGTGTGAATACTTATTTTATAATTTTTATATTTTACAATAAATGTTAAAATGTATTTGAATAGTTTTGTTTTTAATTATTTGTTGTGCTCAATATGCTTTATTGCTATGACATAAATTTAAATTTCATATCATTTTAAAGAAATGATGTACCTTGAAATAAATAGTATGAGAACCCCTGGATATTGGATAGTTACATATACCAACCACCGGGACGGCCGTGGCCCATGTCATTTTTTTTAACTTGGAAGTTGCCTATCTATTATATTATTCTTATCTATGGGTGTAATTTTTGGGACTTGAACTTACAAGCCCTGCTTATATGACACAATGTAAATATTAATATTTAATTTAAGTTAGGTACAATTTAAAATTATAATAAAACTTGTGCCCAATAAGCCTATACTACATGCTTAACTATACAGAAATACAAATTATTTTATTCCTTTTGACACTGTCTTTATTTTTGTAGAATTGTATCATACCATAGAACTTATATATTATACTCAGTACCTATAATACGGTCTATTGGTAAATTGTATGTTCATTTACAGAAATCTTTGTGATCTGCAATGTACTTACTTATTCTAGTTTTCTATTTCTGTTATAGTATGCATGCCAAATTTGACTACACAGATTGCAGGTGCGTAAGTTTATGGACATTCTAATACATTCTCCCGCCAGTGCCCCTAGACACAGTGTTTGAGAAGTTATATTTTTTTTGGTACCTAATTAAATTACAATATGAATTATTAAAAGTGACCTATATATCTACTTGTAAAAAACTTGACTACCGGGATTTTAATAACAAATTGTGATTTAGGTAACCTATTGGCTATTTATCTATTATAAAATAGAAACAACCTACCAATAATATCACTATATAAAATAATTAAAAGTGATAATTTGAAAACGATTTCTTAAAACCCTAAAATATTTTTTTTAATTTAATGTCTAATCCATATAGTTTAGCGCCCAAACATTAATGATGTAAAAATTATTTCCCGGAAATCGTTAGTTTTTATGTCATAGTCTTACGAAGTTCACGATTTTCAGTGTCTTACGTGCCCGTACAACGCTTAAAATTTACTCAGCTTAAGTATAATACATTAAAATTTTTTTAACACAGTTAAATTAAAATCAAAGAATGATGGTGCAAAAATAATTCTGACACCCCCCCATGGTGCTTTTACATAACAAGTCGAAGGATGTTTTTAATTACAATTGTCTGAGCCAGCGCCTGCGTGCGAGTGAATACGCCGGTTATATATGAAAATAACGAAAATTTAAATTAGCTACTTATAACTTTAAAATAAGTCTGACCACCAAATTCAGACTTCAATATCATATTCAATTAAAAATAATGATTTTCGACAATTAATTTTTGCAATAGGTATCATTCATAAATCATTGTAACTTGTAATACCGTGACGCAGTGTTGTCCGACAATTAGATTTCTTCGATCAATGATTCTAACCGATCTATTTTTAGGGGCGTAGATGACGTTACAACTGGAGGCGAAAAAAGGGTTTCAATTTGCCGCTCTTCGTGGTCATTCACTTAGATCAGGAACAAGAAAATAATGTTAATATTAATAGACTCGCTAGCAAAATCTGACCTTATTAGCTATAAGTTTTAGAACTAATATTTACTTTTGAAATTATATATACTAATAAATTGCGCGCGCCAACATTTTTAGAAAAATGAAATAGTAAGTATGATCCAGTCACATGTAAGCCATGGTTGTGTTCGAATAAATGGAATGGACAGACAAAGAAATATTATTATGTCGATCTTCAATGACTATGTAATGATTTTACAGCTAACAACGTCTTAGCTCTCACCAACTTAGCCACACCCCGTTGTCTGCATATCAAGTCTAATAAACTTGTCAATTCGAAAGCGATCGTTATTATACATTATTGGCTGAATCCAATTACACGGTCTACATTTTATACCGGCAACTATTTATAGTTGCCTGTAGCGTAAATGGAATCTTTTTCCCATTTGAACTAAAGACAAGACACCGTGAGATCTGCTTTTGCATTACCTACACGGTTTTAGATATAACTCTAACGGATTCCTAGGGTTGTATATAAACACTAAACCACGTATATTGTTTAATAATGGTGTACAAAAACAATGAACTGTGTTGTAGCTGAATTGCGTATCCAAAGCGCCGTATTATCATAGATTTGTATTTAAAAAAATGTTGTAAAACTATTAATATAATATTATGATTTATGATTTCCCGGAAAATGATCCTAATGGAAAAACTAAATAACAGTAACGTCTTAACCGTGCTGCGTGTGCTGAGTGTTTTTGCTATTTTAGAAAACTAAAAAAAGTTTTAGAAAAAATTATACAATTGGAAGACATTAAAAAGCTCAAACTAAAATGTCCAGGATATTAAACAGAAAAAACTATTCAAAATAAATAGCTCATAAAAGAAAAACTAAACATAGGGCACCTGTGGGATATCAATGATCAAGTCTTTATAAAAAATTCAACAAGAGTTAAATTCATAAAAAAAATTGAAGGGGAGTGTTGGCGCCCGCAGCCAAATGCATTGTAAAAAAACAAAAAAAAAAGTTTAGAAAAAATTATACAATAAGAACACATATCATCGTGTTCAAACTACAATCTTCAGATTTATAAACAGAAAAAACAGTTTATAATGATTAACTAGCTCGATATAGAATGATAATGCAGAGGGCACCTGCAGGTTGTCAATATTCAAGTATGTGCAAAAAATTCAACTAGACTCAAATTCCTAAAAAAAAAATTGAAGGGGAGTGTTGGCGCCTGCAGGCAAATACATTTTAGAAAACCAAAAATTTGGATTAATATAACCAACTGATACAAAATCCTATCCTAACATCATAACCGTACTAAAATCTGACGAATGAAAAAAAAACAAATTTAACCCTTTGTAAATTAACCTATATTCTTCTCAGAGTTCTAATCTACCCGCAAACATTAATTCATATATCTAAATATATAAATACACAGAGTATAACTATACAGACTTAACTCTGAAACTACTTAGTAGATATTATTGTATATATTATATATATGTATAAAAAAAATAATAATAC